CACATTTCTAACTGGATTACTATCACTACCTCTCTTCCTAAGCCAACTTGCTTTTTCATACTCAAGTCCATTATCGTAAGTAACCCTATAAGTATCAGTTTTGCTCTCCCACTTACCGACAATAGGAATGTGACTCTTCACAGGACCCAACTTACTCAAATAAGGTTTTATCCTTTCTGGGTTATACACAAATTTCCTGATAGTGTAATAAACATGAAAATTCATGACACTAGTGATAACAGGATATGTTTCATCAGTAAAAGTCATTTGATCGGTGGTATATCCCACTAAAATGCGTTGCAATGTAAGCTCCACAGAGTGCAGCAAAGTATGGCTTTTTATAGTCGAAGTTAACATCAACATTCTTAATGGTAATAAAGCTTACAACACTTGGAAGAAGGGATCCACCTGCACCACCAGTAGTAGTAAAGTAATTTGAACCGTCAACATACACCTTAAAATTATTAACATCCTTAAACCATCTTACCCGAGGAAAGTGACTTATACCATCAATTGTGTCATCAGGATTAATTTCATATCCACCTCCCCTCCCTGATGACCACATATATGGCCACCTACCACCAGTACCTTTTAGAGGAGGTTGTTTCATATTAACCATAGGTATAAACTGTGCGGGAATAATAATTTTCTTAGGGGCTGTTTATATGGAAGCGAGCCAGCCCGGGTACCCGAGCTGCCTCGCATCCCCGAGATGAATTTCACCACGCGTTTACATGAAACTTGCATCAAGGGCTGGCTCTTCGTGTTCTAATTTTTTTTGGCGTAAACAACTCCATATATGGAAGTTGGTTCCTTATATGGGAGTTGTTTTTGCATTCTGAATTATTCTAATTAATTGCGCATGCGTATTTGCTAAATTTCCAGCCCTACTAGGAGGGCTAGCCTTCCCTGTTGCGTTTATATGGAAAACTACCCAGCTCGTTTACCCGAGGTCTCGGGTCACACGAAGCGGGACCTCGGTTAGGCGGGCCAGCTCGGTTCTCATATAAACGCAACATGAAATTTAGTAGGAAATATTAACAAAGATGGGATCCCGCCTAAAGCGAGCTAGCTCGGGTACCCGAGCTGGCTCGCCTCATATAAACAGCCCCTTAGTACCTGTGAGATAAGATGTAAACTCCTTATCCTTCTTGAAACCGTCATATCTAATATCATATGAAGATATACCATCTAAATCAACAAACCAAGTAATAACTCCTATGTCACCACTACTAGTTGCCTTTGCTTCGAACTTAAACCTTTTCATGTCAGCGTAAGGGTATTTTTTAATAAATCTAGCCCTCTCAGCATTCTCTGCATTTTTAACAACAACAGGATCAATATGATCTTCATACTTTTTTTCATAGTCCTGATACGACAGATACGGCGACTTACCAACTTGTCCTCCACCTAGTCTCATTCTTAATAACCTAACGTATGTTATTAAGATGAAGTTCACAATTTTACTCCAGAGCTCACACACAGTTGTATCACTACAGAACTCAGTTCTAACAAGCAACTATAAATCAGTCTTCGTGAAGAGAGTATCAGTTTTCTGGGAGTACTTCAACATAAGGGAACCAACAACTATTCTTAAAGTGAAAACAGATGATGGAGAATCTGATGTAATTGTTAGTAAAGGTTACTACACATTTGACAGTATGAAGAAGTTACTTGAAAGACACGGTGTTAAGCTAACCTACTTTACTGAAACAGCAGGATGCCAAATAGAAGCAGTAAAACAAGATATCACAATAGAAACACGATTACTGACTATGTTAGGTTTTAATAGATTTTTTAATCCTATGATCCTGCTGAAAGGGAGGAGTTTGACAAGTGATAACAAAGTTGACTTCAACAACAGTCTACGATACGTAAATATACACTGCAATCTGGTAAGTAACAGTTTTAACGTTAACCCTTGGGGAAGATCCAGCGATGTGATAACAAGTGTCACAGTTCCAACAGACAGACCATTATTAGGCTCGGTAGTTAGTTACATTGATGTTGAAAGCAGAACTTCGGTTGTTAAGGGTTCATTCTCAGAACTTGTACTCCACATGACAGATCAAGACGGGAAACCTATTGATATAGGTGAAGTGCTTATCGAGATGTACTTTGAGTAGTTAGCTTACATTGGTTAATATAAGATGGACGATGATATTATGAAAGAACAGGGACTACGAGATATTTACTACAATCCTAAGACTGGATTCCAAACACCAGAGAAACTATGTCTTAGAGCAATATCAGACGGACTTAAAGTAACCAGAAACCAGGTCAAGAAATGGATAAACGAGCAAGACACATACACTAGGTACAGACAAGTATTCAGGAAACATAAGTTCAGACAGACGTACGTCCAAACTTTAGGTGAACAGTTACAAATGGATTTAGTTGACATGGCAAAATATGACGACAAGAACAAGGGATACCGATGGATTCTCACATCCATTCAAATACTGAGTAGGTACGCATTCACAGTACCAGTGTATAGGAAAAACGCGACATCAATGAAGGACGCCGTCAGTAACATTTTAGAGCAATTTAATAATCATTTTGGTAAATACCCAAAATTCGCCCAGTTTGATCAGGGTACAGAGTTCTACAACAAAGATGTAAAGTCATTGCTTAATAAGCATAACATTGAGTTTTTCTCTACTTACTCAGATAAAAAGGCCGCAGTTGTGGAAAGATTTAACAGAACACTGAAAGCTCTAATGTGGAAGTACTTTTATAGTGCCAGTACATATAAATGGTTAGACGTCCTTCAAGACTTAACTGATAATTACAACAGTTCAGTGAACAGATCAATTAAAACAACACCGGACAGTGTAAATGAGTCCAATTAGACTGAAGTATGGAAGACACTTTTTACTCACAATTTAGGCAAGCCGTCGGAACCAAAGTTTGCTGTCGGAGAAAGTGTCAGGATCTCGAAGTACAAATCAGTGTTCACAAAAGGGTATGAAGAAAATTTCACAGAGGAGTTGTTCACTGTGACGGAAGTGTATCACGGTCATCCAAACACGTATACAATAAAAGACAGTGCTGATGAACCAATAATTGGCAGATTCTATGAACAAGAACTGTATAGCGCTGAAGGAAGAGAACCTGATTTCAGAATAGAGAAAGTACTGAGAAGAAGAACAGTGAAGGGTAAAAAGATGGCCCTCATTAAGTGTTTAGGTTATGATGATAAATTTAACAGTTGGATACCAGCTGGAGACATCAAGTCCCTAACATAAGTTAAAGTATTATGGAGGACTTCGAGGACATTGAGTTGGAGGAAAAAAGTTATCCTCAATATGACGACCTCAATTATGATGACCTAACGATAGCTTTTAGTAGGTTAGATACGGAGGTGAGGGGAGAGGCTATGTATGGTGATGATCCTATAGCGATAACCAATCTTAAAAGTGAACTGGACTATGTAAAGAATCTCATGGAGACACGTGCAATAGTTTCTAGAATTGAAGAATCCTTGAAGGAAATAAAACGTCTTAAGGAGCAGGAAACAACCTTTACTGAGAGTAATGACGGTACAGTGAACATTTCAGGTCCATCAGGAAGCACAACCGTCCCAGGAGTCGACTTTGTGGAAGACCCAAACAATGTACTTCCAGATGTTCTAGATGCATTCAACGAATCATTTGACACTGATTGGGGTGACATAGAAGCCCGCCTAGAGAAACTAAATAAGATTTCAACAGCAAATAAAAAGAGAGATTTCGAAAACCAAGTGGAGCGTGTTCAAGCTGTCGCGAGAGTTATTAAAGGTAAGGAGGGACTAATACTAGACCCAAAGAATAAATATGTCAGGGAACTCATCAAACGATCATCTGTAAGAACACTCAAGGATGGCACAGAGGTGTTGGTATTTAGAAGTGAACAAGGTATTAACAAAAGTGGGACACAAATAATGAAACGCGGTAAGACCAAGATTCCCATGTACTCAAAGGACTCACAAGAGGTACCTACGGATCCCTACGTTAGAATTAGAAGTGATAAATCAATTTACGAGGATACCAAAGAAGAGCCCCGATTTGATACCAGTGATGAGGAATACGCTGACCGTAAGAACATTGAGTTAATATATATAAGTGCAAAACTAGGAGATCTTCCAGGGCTAACAGTGCAAGAAAACAATGAACTGAGAGGTGTTCTTAACCCACCTGATGGATCAAGCATAGAAGGCAGAACAGGTCCCAATGGAGCGTTACAAATCCAGGCTGACTACTTTAATGAAGCTATTGGTGAAACCGTGGAACGCGCCACATCTGCGGAAGGTACAACTGAGTATAATTCCCTTATAGAAATAATTGACAGTTTGAAGGAAGCTAGAGATCGAACCCTAGAACAGAGAACAGTAGAGGAAAGAAGAGAGGCACAACTAAATGACATTTCCAGATTACGTAGATTTATAGACTGGGTAGGAAAGGAAAAAGTGGGACTTGTAGGGATAGCAGTGTCAACAGCTAGTTTAATTACAGCCTTACTAATCCATGCTAGGGGAGCCATTGTGAAGACAGCAAAGGCCACCGGTAAAGTAGCAAAAGCATTAGCAAATTTAGCGAAGAAAGCAGGACCAATTCTAGTTCCAATTCTGAACACCATCGCAACGGCGCTATCATGGGGTGCCAGAGGAGTTGCATGGTTAGCATCTAACTTATGGGTAGTTGTTGTTGCTATAACCCTAGTTGTTTACGATTATAACACTAAGTAATTTATTAGAATGGAAGGTGAAGATGAATCACGGGAAGATTATAGCATTCCTCAAACATCGGATTACAACTATAGCGACTATGATACGGTTACGGATAGAGACATGGTAAACATAATGCTTGAACAGTCTAGAAATGTGTCTAGGGAAGGAGACAGATGGGTCACATTTGCAAGCATTCTCAATGAAATTCCTGAGGACAGAGATATGACTTTAGATTAAACAATTGACGAATATATGGACGACAGTGATTCCGATTTATCTAGCTTAGATGAGGCTATTGATATTAGTGAGGATGACAGGTTCGATATTATTAATTATATTGAAAATCGTTTTAATACTAATATTGGTGATATCGATGGAGGCGAGGGGTATCCCTTGTGGGTCTACGAGTTTATTAGAAATGAAAGTAGGTATTCCTCACCACCAAGAGTTCCGGCTCACATTGCAGCTTTAAATGAGGAACTGAAATCCCACCGCCTTGGTTTAGAAATATTAAATCTAATGGATTCTGATCCTAGTCAGCATCGGGAAGCGTTTGGTAGAGTTATTGAAATTCTTAGGGAACTACTGAAGGAAAACAGGACGTTGGATTATTTCATTGACCGATTTCTTGATGAAAAGGAAGCCTGGTATGCTCACCCTAGTTCCGAAATGAATGTCGTTGATAATTATATTAATGATCGTTTTGGAATCAGAACTAGGTATATCAAGGTAGGTAAGAATTACTCGGAATGGGTAAATAAGTTTGCGAAATATTCATATGAGCACTTCAGACTCAGAGATGAAGCAATGGCAAAAGAAAGGGACACGGTTCCTAATTTCGGTGAAAGGCAGGATTACTATGAAAGGTGGAGGGCTACAATTATCTCTTCAATCGGCCTGGGAAAATACAAGGCGGTATTGAAGAATAAGGGTGTGACTGAAAAAGAGTTTATTGACATTGTGGTAGGAAGGTCGAAAAAGTTACTCATGTTAAAAAAAATATACAATGACAATATGGAAGAAATACGTAGACTTAGGGACTGGGCGAAGAAAAACAAGTCCCCCCTCGGAGCGGCCATAGCAAGTGTTACGATAGCTGTATTACTGGTGGGAGTGCTTTCCAAAGTTGCACTTTCCAGTGGGTCTAACTATACAGCTAGGGCAGCTGATAAGGTTAGACCTGATAGTAAAGAATCACCTTCATTTGCTGATGTTATTAGGTTAGCTATAGCTAAGGCTTTAGACTCTGTCTCAGATTTAACGCTTTGGTTGGCGGGTAACCTGTTGGCCGCTGGGTTGGGGATTGTGGTTGTAGTGTATGCTATAAACAACTAAACATTACATATTGTATACAAGTATGAAAATCACAGAAAGAGAACTCCAACCTGGCTTCAGGAGGAGCCGTATGACATCCGTAAAAGGTCCCAGAACTAGAAGTGTTGTAACTTTTAATCCAACAACTATTGGCCCAGGTGAAGAGCTGTACATTAATATCCTCAAACTAAATCCTGACTCTTGTTTAGTCCCAGGATCGTTTGCACTATTATTTGACTTTAAAAATTCCAATACAAAAAGCCGCTTTAATAATAACCTGTCTAAGTTGATAGCAAAACGTCTTCAGATTAAAGTAGCAGGTGAAACAGCTTATGACTGTTCAGGAGAAAGTTTGTACGAAATATACAAAGATCTATGGCTAACACTAGGTGACAGGAATAAGATGACTGAACAGGGCCTTGCAAGTGAGAATCTTAGGAAGCTGATATCAGGTGACGACTCAGGTGTAAAGGTAGGTGATGCCAATAAAGTAGCAGATGCACTTCTCCACAGTGTGTACGGTTCTAAGCTGAGAAAACCAATTGATAAAATAATCGCAGACCATGGACTCTACACACCGTTCTCCATGAATAACAATCCTATGTACATCCTCACACTTCCACAATCAGATGAGATTATGACTGCCCAAGGAGGTGAAGCTAAGGGTAATTATAAACTTAATAATCTTGAGTTAGAATATGAGACCATTGAGAATGACACCCTTGCGAGTGAAGTATCAAGGATGTATTCAACGGGTCGCTCACTGTCCTACAAACACGTCACTCTTATGCGTACGAGTAATTGGGACAAGGATCTTACCATTGTCAATGAGAATATCAATATCCCCAGAAAGAGCATGTCAGCAATTGTCCTTCTATTTACCAATAGAGTGAGGACTGACAGTGAAGAATATATTTACCCAAACATTGATAAAGTGAACCTGACCATTGAGGGTGTACCTAATGCAGTCTTCTCCCAAGGACTTCCCAAAAATAGGTTCTTCGAAGAAGCAAAAAGATTCTTCTGCCCTATCTGTGAGGAATCCATGGCAGACGAGTTTATGTCCATCAGCAAGTTCTTCACCAATAGTTTTGCTCTAGTAATCGACCTAAGGTCAACACAAGATCATACCACTGGTGGAGGTAAGAAGATTGTTAACACACAATCGGGAGTACTCCTGGAAATCAAAAAGAGAGCCACAACAGCTGACGCTCAGTGCAACATTTTTGTTGTATCAGATGCTCTCCATAACTTGGCTAACAGAGACCTATCAAGTATTCAATACTAATGGTAAAGCATAGAGATGCAACAACTTAAGCCCCCATTCAACATGCTCATAGTAGGAATGACTGGAAGTGGCAAAACTCAGTTCCTACTTAATATGTTAGAAACAGAGTACAGTAGAGTTTTCGATTACATTGTCATCATATGTCCAACCATAGAGTGGAATATGACTTACATTAATTGGACTCATATTAGTGACCACGGGGTTATACAAATTCCATGCTCACAAGAAATGATCGATCTTGTTCTCAAGGCAGTGTCCACCATATTCCGCGGTACTCAGACTCTCATTATAGAGGACGATTGTGCGGCAAGTCAAGATGTAAAGAAAAGAGTCTCAGAACTGGTGCGCTTAGCATTCTCCGCAAGACATTACAACCTATCTGTCATTGTACTTACCCAACAATTGTCATCAGTAGCAAAACCATTCAGGGAGAACATTTCCAGGCTAGTTACATTCTACAACCCTAGTCGCAGAGATATGAAGGTAATAACAGATGATTACCTAAGTGGAGTTCCTCAGGAGACAATTACAGAGATTACGAAGATATTAAAAGATGAGAAGTTCACCGCACTGGACGTACTACTTATTCACCCTTACACATACACTGTTAAACTAAACACCGCGTAAAATATAGATGATGGGAACTGAATCTGATGAAGAAATATTTGAGGCTGTAAGAGAAGTGGAGGAGGCCGCAAAGGTGCCGCAGAAAAAAGCAAGAAAAACTAAGTCCACCGCAGATAAGTCGCAAACTGAACACAAAAGGGACAAACTTATAGAGCTATCGAGGGACGGTATAATAGAGAAGTCCGCAAGTTTTATAAGAAAGTCTAACAAGGATGTTGTAGATAGACTATACCATGAGTACGAAAGTCAAAGGATGTCATGTGCAAGTGACTTCTTATCAACACTTATTATTTCAAAGTTTGCGTCAGTCCTGGGAAGTTTCGGTGCAGTGGAATCTTCAGAAAAACTGTCAGAGGAACTACTTAGTGACAAGCTTCTGAAGGACGACGTATCATATCTATCCAGAACGATATCACCCAATATCCCATTCATAGGGCTCATATCTGGTGGCTGTACAACAGCTAAACATGTAGTTGCCCATAAGTGGAATAAGAAGGAGGAACCTGGGGAAGTGTCAGAAGAAGTTAAACATCTGATATTACATACAGAATGTCAAACTCCGGAGAGCCAATCGAGTGGGGAGGAACAGAATTCGAAGACATAATTGATGAATTGATTGAGAAAACTGATAAGATTCAGGCAACTTTGGATTCACTAAAGTATGACTTTGAAGCTTTTAAAAATGACACAATAAAAACAGTTGTAAATATATACAAGAATCTAAATGAAATGCAGTAGGCAAAATAATTTTTTGTAATAGGAAGTACGAAATAGTGGGAAGCAGCTGGGTGGGCTGAGGGAATGCTGCTCCAAATTGATAAATAAAATAGCCTAAAATTTTTTTACACATATAGTATAGGGAAGATGGAGAAATTATTCAGGAATCCGGAGTTGAATGTTAGTGTAAGGACAGTGAGGTGGGGTGAGGGTATACTGTTCTATGCAAAAGATGTGGCGGAATCACTAGGGTACGCGGATCCGAAGAAAGCAGTTCAGAAACTAGTTAGGAAACAAAACAAGGTAAGCGTAGAGGAGCTCCGCGTGGGGGGCGAATCGCCCCTCTTGCAAAAATGTCACCCACAAACGATCCTGCTATACGAACCCGGTTTGTACCAGCTAATATGTAGCTCAAGACTCCCAATAGTAGAGGCCTTTCAGGACTGGGTATTCAGTGAGGTGCTTCCATCTATCCGTAAAACAGGCTCATACACACTACCAGATAGAAGGTCACTCAGGTATAACCAAATAATCCTCATAAATGAAACGGACCTTCATCATACAGTCGTGAGTTACATTAGGAACAACCACCCCTAAGCATTGCATTGATATCTCTTGTGCTAGCATATAAAACACATCAGAGGGAAACTAAGGAACTAGAACCTGAGTTCATCCCTAAAACTGTAGAAGTAACTAAGAAAGCTGATGAGTCCAAGTTAGATTCACTTGAATGATACATTAAACATACCATATATTATAACAAGATGAGTAAGGTAAACGCTGTTAATAAATCAGAGATGGGAAGTGAAGTGTACGATGCATTACTACTTACAGCTGGAGCAATCGGAATCTCAATGGCATCTAAAAAGTTACTGAAGGAACCACTAGGTACACCAGAGAACACAAAAGGAATGTTAAAGTTAGCTGTCTCTGTTAGTCTTTCATCCCTACTGGTGTCGTATCTAAAGAAAAATAAGTATATCCCCGATAACCCAATTAAAACCTAGGACATCCAAAACATATGTAAAACTATACAATGGCAGGGGCAGTAGCAGGAGGACTTTTTAATGCATTTGCGTTTGCGGGAGCAGGATACTTATTTAAAATGTTTGACAAGAATGGATATGCTGAGGAAGCTCATAGACATAACAAAGCAATGGAGAACCTAACAGCTGAAAGAGAGAAGTACCTCGAAGAGGTCACTGATAGGAGAAATAGGATTGCTCAGCTGAAGTCAGAATTAGCTGATGCGAATAGGGATATTAAGTCAACAAACCAGTCACTGGAACTCGTTAGAAGAATCAATGAGTTAAAACGTAAGCCTATGCCAAGGAAGCCGCAATTGAGTAATCACTACAAACCTAACTCTGAAATGGAAGAATATATGGCAATCTTTGGTTTAATCACAGGTGGGGTGGTTGGAGGGGCAGCTTATTTAATTCTATAGAAAATGCCATAAAATTTTTCACACCTATAAGTATAGGGAAATGGAATGGTTACAGATGGCAACACCTGAGGAGATAGCACATGTAGGTAAAAGGGTAAATACACTGGAAGAGTTAGAGGCTGCTGTGAGGAATCACGCAGAGAGTAGAATAAAGAGAAAACACACATATGATCCAATATGTAGCGAATGTGGGAGCAAGTCTATTGTAATGATAGATGGGGCAGATACATGCACACAGTGTGGTGCCAGTGATATGAATAACTTCTCATACTACGTTAGTTACAACTACAACAAGGACGACTATCTGAAAAAGAAGTCTTGCCACAATAGAGTCCGTTGGTTCGAGAGACACTTATTCGAACATGTTGCTTCTAGGGATAGGGATATCATAAGGGAGCAGTTTAGAAGCATAGTAAGATGTATACAAAGACTTAGACTGCAAAGGGGGCGCAACATAGTCAGATACAAGTTTTACCTACTGAGGATAGCCAGTATGAATGGTATATCTCTGAGAAACCCTACTGAGGATATTAAAACTCAAAGGATTGTGGACATCCTTAAGGATAGGTTGTATGGGAAAGTTTTTGTTGAGCTTCGATGGAAACCTGAGAAATGTGAATATTATAATAACTGGAAAATAAAAAATTTAATATAATAAAAATAAATGATTCATTTTATATTAAAAATAAATGATTAATTTAATGGGAAAATAAACGATTAATTTTAATATAATAAATTATTAATTTTAATATAATAAAAATAAATTATTAATTTAATGGTAAAATAATTCGGGTATTTAATTGGCAATAAATTATTAATTAAATACCCGAATTTATTTTTACATATATAGTATATAGAAACTGTTAGAAAATATGGCAAGTTACTTTAACATAAACGAATTCAGTGTAGAACAACTTTTGGCTCTCAATAGTATCATAGACAGTGATGAGGATATGGATGCAAGAGTAGAAGACATCTTGGAGGATAGAAACTACAGGATTGCTCCTGATGATAAGGGTGAGAGTCCATTCCAAGGAGAAAGACAATTCGTAGATGAATACGATCGTGATATGGAAACAAAGAAACCAAGACGTATTCCTAAAAACTACAAGGGTAAAAGAGGAATTATGCCAACATGGAAGTACTCTGACAGACAAAAAGCTAAGGCGCTACTTGTAGAGGAAGCATACCAGAGTTTACTGTCTAAGGGAGTTCAAGGACTTCCACCAACAATGGGAGGTAGATGGCGTACAGATAATGTTCTTGTTAATGAGGAAATTAAGAGAATCGAAAACGAAAGGAATCCTAAGGTAAAGCGTCCCAAAGGTAGACCACCAAAGGCAAAGGTTGACGCTGAAGTGAAGGTGCCAAAAAAGAGAGGTAGACCACCAAAGGTAAAGGTTGATGCTAAGGTCAGGAAGCAAACTGTAGCAGAAAGATTCTTGAAGCAAAGGAAGTTAAAACTCTCAGTGCCTGCAGATAGTGTTATAACTCCAACAGGTCCAGGTAAGTTTACAATTCGCGTGGATCTTAATAAGAGACCTGTGAGGAAAGCTCCTGAGGTGCCTAAGGGTGTAGCTCCATGGAGACCGATACCTAAGCCTAGAACGGTACTTCCCAGGGAAAGACCTGTACCGAAACCTAGAACTAAGCTTCTTAAGAAAAAACCTGTACCGAAACCTAGGAATAGGAAACCAGTGTCTCCTCCCAAAGTCCGTAAGCCTGTAAGAGTGTCGAGGGAAGTTAAGGAGCAGCCTATAGTGGTTACACCAGAGGAACACGAAATAGATCCATTCGGAACAGACCTTGAAAAGCCATTCCACAGGAAAATTGAAACAGCCGCAAATGGAGCCGCCGTGACTTACTCGATAACTCCTCATTATATGGACCCCCTGGAACAGATGACTGCAAGTAGACAGGTAGTGAGAGGAATACTTGTGAATGAGTTGAAGAGAATGGGTGGGTTGAAGTACACAGAGACTATAAAGGTAAGAATGTCAAAGGAAATTGGTGACGGGAAAACCAAGAAGGACTCAATATACTTCAAATCTAAGACTGGTACTGCAACTAACTTCGAGGACATTGAAAGTACTGCTGCTCAAAACCAACTGACGATATTGTCCAGAATTGAAACCGGAAAAATAGATGTTGAAAAGGTTACTGAAGAAAAAATAGAACCTAGCTGTGTACCAGTAAGAGTGGAAGAAAAAAGTGAGGAGTACTACCCCAGATTACCATTTAAGGTTGTGGTGCCTGCTAAAAGGTGGAAGTTCAAAAAACTGCAGCCGTTAAGAATGCTTGTGCCTGATATTAATCACATAAGGAACAACCTGGATATACTACCTCCAGAATCAAAGCAAAACTTGAAAATGTTAATAAAACTAAAAATGCAGGCGTTAGGTTTGGCGCTTAAGAAGTAGCTTCTAAAATGGGTATTGTGGAGGTTGTATAAGGTACTAATCAGTGCTTTAAAATTAGGATCTAACAATTTTATGGAAAGGATGTGTGTACCCCGACCCCAAAGAGAGAATAAAAGTTGTCGAAGAGGCTTTGGAATAGGAAAATTGAACAATATTGGAAAAGTGTAGGATAATCGTATTAGAGTCTCAGCTGGACTGGTAAGGTGATCCCGAAGCTTTGAGATAAGTTAAATGAAAAACAAGAATAGCAGTTTCACATTTCAATTAAATGGACCATGGAACTGCTGAAGTCTCGGGAACCCACTCGTTGAGGTGTGGGACCATTAATTTTAATATAATAAAAATAAATGATTAATTTTAATATAATAAAAATAAATAATTAATATTTACTAAAGGTAAAAAACTAGTGGTCTAGAAAAAAACTAGTGGTCTAGAACCGGCAGTTCCTATACTACTAGCACGTTTAATTTTTATCTTCCTGGCCGAAGAATCCGCGTTGTTTGTCATGTCTCACGGCTGCTTGCACTGGCAGTCTGACATCACTGTCCCTGTGAAGGTAATTGAAAAACTCCAATATATTATTGTTCTTTATATTATAATTCAACAATAATGGCCCTATGACTGGTGCTAATATGCCTAAAAAGTATTTTTTTTAAAGCGCTTAGTTTTGAGAAATTATAATTTGATATAAATGAAAATTTACTAGTGGGCTATCCATAGATTCATCACTAATCCATTTTACACTGTGAACGTTGCACTTGTTCAAGTTATTTTGACCAAAAATTACCGCATGTTAATTAATAAATACTCTAGTATATAATAATATTGTAATTTATAGTTTATTCCCTTGGAGCATGCAAAGTGCTTACATGTGGAATTATTAAATTGCCTTAGATCCACAGCTCTCACATAGGAGATTAGAACTCCCATAATTCCTTTTACACATCCTAGTACATTTTACTATTCTAAAAGTGCATTTCCCCATCCCCTTTCAGACAGCAGAAATTTCATTTGTATTGCAAGTTTATATTTTGCACTGAATGGTGAATCAGTAAAACTAAACGATTGCCAACCAGTTTAGAGATAGGTTTGTTCAAATGTAACTTATGTCATAAGTATGTTTCTCTCTGAATTAGAAATAAATCCACTGTTAATAAATTAATTGGATAGATTTAGTGTAACATATAGATTTAGGTTTCCAGTTTGTGAAATGAAATGAAAATCAATTGTATTATATTTTTATAGATATTCATGCTTCTCAAACATCAATACGGATAAAACAAGGACTGTCAAGAAGACTGCAACTGTATATGTTCAACTTAATGGGGATGGGAATGCTGTTAGTCTTCACATGTAGGAATGTTGATAATATTAATGAGATTATTAAGAAAACCACAAAGTCAACAACTATCCTAGATTCCATAATATTAGGACTCAACTATACTTAATATTCTGGTAATACTCAAGAAAGTGACATGGCAATTCAACAATGCATATACAACAGAAAGAGATATTTCCACACCAAGACAATTCTTTCTGAATTAGTATTTAGCTGATATTTCATTTTTTACAGTATTTAAAGTTCTATACAGTGCTGTTTTAAGTTAAATAACAAAGTTACTTGGTTCAAAATCTGGTCTTTGTTTTTCCTTCTCTGTTCTGTGCAAGGGTAGAGAAAAGAGATGGTAATATGCATCCTCACATGTGACTGTAGGAACTCTCACTCATATGGAAAATGAATTGGGTCGTTCCAGAAAAGATCCATACTCCCCCCATAGAGGAAATTTCTGCCGTCCGGAGGGGGAGAAAAAATTGTTTCTGATAATAGTAAATGTATTAGGACATCCGAAGGGGGTTAACTTCCTATTTCCTCTGTGGGGGTGGTATGGATGTTTTCTGGAATGACCTATTCTCAGTCATTTCAAAAAGTAAGCCTTGGAGCTTTTTGGAAATCGATTTCATTCATGCTTCAACAACTGATCTCCTGCATGCACATCATTGCAAAATGTGCAGCCAGCCTGCAATGTCCAAACCACAGTTGTCCACAACATTTGTTCTCATTGAGCTGTCCATTGATGAGGAAGTGTAGTGTGGAGACAAACAATTTTGATTTGGCTGCATTTATTTAAACACTTGCTTTTATACCTCCCTCACTGATTCAATAGTTGCTAATGTAAATTTGTACTAGCTCTGCAGGACAGATGTGTTCAATTTTTCCTATACGGTATAGAATAAAGATCATGCTGTTAGTGTTACATGCATGCAAATGGTAATTCACAATGATGTAAAGGCTAATGAAATTCAATTATGGGTTGTTCATAACTACCAACATTTCCTGAAGTGTAGAAACTATACGCTTCAGGTAGGCAGGTTCATAACCACTATACGCTTTTTAAATGTTGAACTATAGACCCAGCCACCATCATCGGTTAAGTCATTGTGGGAGGGGGTCTCTGTACACCTGTGATAATTATGGATGATTTACAGTGTAACACTAATGCTAGATTTAACTGAAAATAATTTTATAGTTATGTTTAATATATTTTAAATGTTCCATTTGTGGAGGTCAGTGGCATCTATTCTTGTGGAAAATTCAAGTAGCTGTGCTCCAGCAGCTAGCTGCAGTAGCACAAATTATTGACATAACCAAAATTTTAATATTGCATGGGATCTTTATAGATTCGCTTTTATTATTTCCTGATGTCCTATGAGCCCAGCAGGAACTGCTTACTTTATTATTATAATTTAAACATGTAACAATTAAGCTATACAAACAGCAATCGTTCTGTGCGTCTATTTCTGCTATAAAATGCATATTCAGCTGAGATTGATATTAAACTGTCACTTGAAGCAGACAAGAGGTTTTCGTATTAAACAAGTGGTTGTATTTGAGAGAAACTAGAACGTCACAAACGCAAATGGTTCTGTGGTTTGTTTGATCATACAGTGTGTGTATACATATTCATACCTTCGATAACGATGTGAACATTAGCTGTCTCAACTTTGAAGTACCAAATTGATGTCTATATTTATTCACACTACGATGTCCATTATATATTGTGCCTGATATTAGGCTGAAAGTTGGAAAATATTTGCCAGAAACGAGCTTCGCGCCTTGGCGAAGCATGCATTTTACTGTAAAGCAAATTATTGTTGTGAAAATCCTTATAAATCATGCAACCAATCGTAGCGCTCATTACAAGAAGTATTTAGCGGTAAACCAATCATATTCATTGTAACAACATCCTCAAAGCACATGTCAAGGTCAAATGTATAAACCAATCACAACGGAGTTTAGAAGAGCCTTTACCAGGGTCTTCTCATTTTTCACGCGCCATGCACGAAGAAGATCCTGGGGACGAGGTTGTGTATATAGTTCACTGACCGTGGGTGGTCATCCTCACTGATCTCAAAAATATGGCTGTTTGCCAGGAGTGGAATAAGCAAGATTTCAATTTTCAAAAGCATATATTTGGAAAATCACGTTTCACACAATGAGCTTTGAAGCAATTTTTGTTTGAAGAAATGAGAAGAACTGATTTACTGTGGAAAATCGCGGAATATAGGGCAAGTTTGCTTTGAATGTTTAATGTTTATGAATTTTGTTGCTTTAATTTATTGCGTAAAACATGCACTGCTTTCCTCTTCAATGAAGCTGTATTAAAGTTTACTAAATTACCCTGGCGGGCTGTTTAATTTAAGAATAAAAGGTAAAATGTAAAGGAGAGCAAATTCATTTGAAAACCGAACTGAAATTACTCAACAATTTGAACTTATTTTGTTTTATAAACTATATAAAAACCCGTACAGTTTTATATCTGAAAAATCAGTTTATAGTTTAATATGAAAATGAACATTTCAAAACATTTTACGAAGCGAGTCACGTTAAATTTTACATTAAATCAAAGCTCACAAAATGCAGAACAACATACCTACAGTACATATTTCGGAAATTCATTGTTATATAGTTAAAAGCAATAATATCTTTCAACTATTTTTGGCGTGTTGTACAAAAAATATAATAAAATTAAATTTATCGTGTTTCCATGGCGACACTGACGGTCAGTTACATGTTCAGTGTTAATCAATTACTAATACTTCATGTTAAATCAATGTTTGGAAAATACATGCGAGGGGTTGCTGCATGCATGTATTTCTAGTACATATGTTAGACCCAGGGACGTCGTGAAGCCATCAACATTGGGGGGTCGTCATGTTTGACCAGCATTTCGTAGGATTTTGACAAGTCGTACAAATTTTTCCGAAAACGTTGTCGATGGGAGGGGGGAGGTCAAAACAATTTTCCGGACTAACATAAGCATGGTCAAAATAATTTTACCGACTAACACGAGCATATTCAAAAAAAATTTTTTGCACTAACATAAGCATATTCAAAATTTTTCGGCCAAGATAAGCAAGGTTTCCAATTTTTTCATGCGAACCATTTCAATACATTGAGCAACTTCCACCATCTTTTATCCCAAACTTTGACCATTTTTTTCCGAGTTTTACCATCAATTTTAGGCAAATATCAGTTCCATTTAGAACAACTTTGGGCGAACATGAGTTCTAATTTGACCAAGTTTGACTAAAGTTTGAATTATTAGCGGGGGGGTACACTCCGACAGAGATTTCGACCAGTTTCACCAATGTAAACCAGACCACATTCACAAGGAATGCGGTACACACCAGGTTTCTGAGATTCATTTACGCTGTCTTTATGTGTACAAAGAGCTCGAAACAATTTGTTTTCGCTGGAATGGTATACCCTTATACCTGCTTCATTCCTCAAAATTCTGTCGATTTTGTGTGAAGCCGAACCAATGTATGGTAGACAAACAGACGACTGATATTCAATCTTCTGCTGTATACTTAGCCTGCGAACAGGCTCTCAAGCTGAATTGAGAGCCTGCATCGATGACTAATGAATTTGAATATCTGCGTCTCAAATCGTGACGCGAAATTCTCATTGGTCAGATGCTATAATTTATATGTTTCCACTGAGCTCTATATATGTCAACTGCTGAAGCATTATGCATAAAAAACACATTAACTGATCTAATTGGTCTTGGCCGTCTTATCTCAAAGCACGAAATGTTCTGTTTTGAGAAAACTGTATTTAAAACATTTGAACTTTTGCTTGAATATCTTATATTTCGAAAAACAGTATAAACTGTACAGTCTAAATTTAGTTTGCACGGTCTAAATTTAGTTTGCGCGAAAGTCGTAAACAACACCATATAAGGATAGACATTCCATATTTGGAAAAACGAACGTTACGGGGCAGATATTCAAATTCATTAGTCATCGATGCAGGTTCTCAATTCAGCTTGAGAGCCTGTTCGCAGGCTACTGTATACTTTGTGGTGTTTTCATAGCATTATCTATGAAATGCCGTGGGTAACCATTCATTTTTAGAACATTTCTTAAATGTTCTAATTCATCGTCAATGTTACTTACCTCATGAGAAAAATGAGTTTAGAGTCTCTTGTATCGAAAACACTTCATTTTTCATACATTTTGAACACCTTAAGCCTGGATAATTTAAATCCTACCATTTACTTGGTGTTTTAAAAAGTTTTGTTACAGTTTAAAATCCTCTAGCCTCTTATATCAGCGTCGTAGGAAGCTGTTTTCGATTGTGGGGGGTGAAGCGAGGGCCGAAGGCCCGAGGAAATTTTTTAATTTGGAGTCTCTGAAATGCCATTTCCTGGACTTTGGGGAAGATTTTACAGAATTCTGATAGTAAGAAAACAGCGTTTTTATAATGCCCAAATTTACAATTAAGTAGTAATAAATGGGCGAAGGCGTATTTAATTAACTATATATTGAATAATTTGCAGGAAAGTATGGGTAATACCTTCATTCTTTGCAGTTTGTCACAGATTAAATGATAAAGGTCTGCATGATTTTGAAAAAAGAATGATTATTAGAAAATTATTGGGGGGGGGGGGGCTGCAGCCCCCCAACCCCCCCGGTTATTACGGCGCTGTATATATGTCACTCCTTCAGCTTTCCGAATAGCTTCTTCCTGTTGCGTTCAAATCAGTTTCTCTCCTTGGCGTCGTTTCTTCTCTTTTTTAGTTGCCTGTAAATCAGATTTCTTCATTCGCTGTACATCCCTGCATCACAAGCTTGTTTTGTTTTACCCCCAGCATGAATGGACAGCTGTTTCATGATCATAACACCAAGTCGACTCTTTGCTCCAATATGGAAGTGGGGGAATAGCGGCAGCTAAAGGACATCGCACTGCTTTGCAGTCATGTTGTTTATGCTTTGGATACCTAGCCCAAGCTAGAGCATTCAAACTGCCATTTTGGTTTTCAGTTGTGCCAAGAACACACCTTTGAAGCAACTCTGTTTGACTAAGAGAAATGACCAATACGTCCACTTTCATCTTCTTCCAAAGTTAAATTTCCTAAACAAATGTTCATTAACATTTTTAAAACTATTGACACATATATGTACTGCATATTACGACTGTTTACATGTTACACAACAAATATATATATATATATACAACTTTTGTTGCAGAATAGATATAAAGGGGTTTTCAGGAATACAATTTAAACCATATGTTATATTAAACCAGTTTTGAAAGATAAGGGCAAATTCTTACCTTCCCCACACATGTGTTGAATATTTGAGACAGCATAATTGGATAGGCAGCCAAACTGATCAACCTGTATTCGGGGATATTTTCTTCGCCGTTATTATCACTATTGTCATTTCTGATTTCACATCGTAATTTTCTTGAAGTTCCAATAACATTATTTTGGTTTGAGCCATCAACATTGTCTGTTTGGAGATTCACACGTGGGATCATCATTTATCCTCATATTTTGATCTCGTGTTGAGTCACGATCTTGGTGTCTTTGCTTACCTGAGAAAACCTCTTTCCCTTCCTTTTTCGCTTGTATTAAGAAGATATACTTTTCGTACCGGTCATTGTTATAATTTGAAGAAAAGAGATACATTTCTTGGCCCTCAAGTCGCATTGTTTTTTGCTTCAACATCAACGTACACATCAACAAATCACAGAATAGATACCAGACCAGAAGGGACACTCCTATGTGTTTTGGCAGAAGGAAAACGTCCGAAATTTTTTTACGTGCTATGACGCCATCCTGGAGTGCACACGGCACTTTGTACCTATGTTTTCCTATGAAAAACTTCCGTGTGCACTCCAGGATGGCGTCATATGATGGCGTATTTTCACGTCAGCACTCGTAAAATGTCGGACAAAATATCGTCTGAGTGACACTTCTGTTCCTGTATCTATTCTGTGAACAAATATCAGACTCAAATTCAAACAGGAGCCCGCGATGTAATAGCAATGCAGGGACGTCATGTACCACAATATATAGTGTACTTGCTATAAACATGCTCATTTGGGCAGTTTCAGCCGAACAATGGGCAAAAAACAGTCAAAAAACAAAAAAAGCTGTAACCGTTGCCATAGTAACAGAATCAGCATATTCAAACAATAATAATAAAAGCCTTTAAAATACATGAAGATGTTGGAATTCCAATAAACTCTTTTTCCATATGTTAGTTAGGTACCTGAAGTATCTGAAAATGCAAAAAATATTTTTTCATTTTTTCACAAAATTTCTAGCCTGCAAACAGGCTCCTAAGCTGAATTGAGAACCTTCATCGATGACTAACGAATTTGAATACCTGCGTCTCAAATCGTGACGCGAAATTTTCATTGGTCAGATGCTATAATTTATATGTTTCCGCTGAGCTCTATATATGTCAACTGCTGAAGCACTATGCATAAAAAACACATTAACTGATCAAATTGTTCTTGGCCCTCTTATCTCAAAGCACGAAATGTTCTGTTTTGAGAAACAGTATTTAAAACATTTGAACTTTTGCTTGAATATCTTATATGTCGAAAAACAGTATAAAGTGTACGGTTTAGTTTGCACGGTCTAAATTTAGTTTGCACGAAAGTTGTAAACAACACCATATAAGGATAGACATTCCATATTTGAAAAAACGAACGTTACGGGGCAGATATTAAATTCATTAGTCATCGATGCAGGCTCTCAATTCAGCTTGAGATCCTGTTCGCAGGCTACAAAATTTCAGGTGTACTCCCCCCTTAATTGTTGAACAAAAGATTATTGTTGCCATGACAACAGTCGCTATCCAACATGCTGCGTGATAATTAGGCAATTAGCCTTTCTCACGAAGGCCAAATTCGCCATTTTGGGGGTACTTTTTTGAAAACGACGTGAAAAATCTAAGCGATGTGAAAACATTTTTTAAAATATTTACTGTAAATTAACTTATATTGATTATAGCCTACTCACAATTATAGTTATACAAATCCATCATTCACTGCGTACAATTTCACTGATTTAGAAAAGGCAGTACCCCAAAACGGCGGCGCGAGAAAGGCTAGTTAATTAGCCCATTCAGCGGGCTTTTCACTCATCTCCCGTTATACTCGGATATAACGTTACTATGAAAGTTGGAGAAACGTAGATAACCTATACGTAGATAATCTATAAAAACTGTTAATCTTTTAACCAGCCAATCGTCAAATAATCTACTTCAGTTATTCGCACTGAAATTGTGTACCTATCGAAAGTTTTGAGATGGTAAAGTACCCAAGTTTTCATAACCCAGATGAAAAACATTTACTTATTAGAACACTAAAATTATGTCGCTCTTCTAAAGCATGTTCCTTGCATTTTTATCAACTATGAAAATATAGCAGCACACCATACCAAGTAATGAGCACTCTTTATTTAAAAGCCAAGCAATTACATTTATCTGAAAACTATACAGCAGTTACAGCATATAATAATAAGAGAAGTGCTACAATCTAGCTAATATTGAAATAAAGCCGAAAATCGTCACAACTCAGGTAATCTAGAATAAATAAGACATAAAATAATTCAAAATTGGTATTAAATATATGAAAGCCACCTCAAGTGCATGTCAAAAATTCTGAATACAATTAGAAGTTAAAATATTTTGATTATATCAATTACATATTACTTACTTAGCATGTACAAGAGTAACAAGCTCCCTTGCAATACGTGTACATATACCGAGGGTTTTTTGCACACTCTCCAATCGATGCCCAATATAAACAATTTGTGTTATAATTTTCTCAGCATGACTTCTTGCAATTTTTCATCATATATGCTCGGTATTGGCTACCATGGCAACAATATCCTTGTTTAGTCCAGAAATTACAGTTCACATTCTTATTCACACAACCTACGGCTAATATAAGCACAAATTAAAACATTAATCATTGCAGATTGCTACGCCCGTGATTGGTTGGAGCGTGCTTGTTTACCTCTGTTCCATTGACTTGCATTATCATGACAGTATAGTAACTGGGCATGCAAATTGTCTAAAAATGTAAATTATGGGCAACCAACATATAGCTACATGCGTTAGCCGATATTTGGCTGAATTATAATTTTCTAAATTACGCTGGCAAAGCAAATATTGTTCATATGTTGCTCATTCTCGCGAATTATGAACAAAAAAGAGACAGAGTTCTTACTCCTAACATCTCGCTTAAAGCTTCGACAGTCAGAAATTTTATTGCCGGCGTAGCAGCCGCGACTAAGCACGCTCGCCTTTTCCTTCCGCCCGCAAGTCCCCCACAAAAACAACCAAATGCCCCACAATAATATCCGAGCTTGTAGAAACCATTAACACAGAGGCGTAGCCAAGATTTTTGGTCAGGGTGGGCCCAGCAAAAACCCAGGTGGGGACAACAAATTTTCCGCACCACAACATTTTAAATCTCCCCCGTCCCCACGTCGACAACTTTTTTGGTTAAAAATTTTCCGCACAATAACATTACAATTGCTTTCGTAGCACTTTTCCCCATTTCCGTATAACTTTAGTTCCGATACTTCACCACGAAGATTCCGACAACATTGAGCCTGCCGAGCCTGCGTTAAAAATTCACTGGTAAAAAACAGATTGGTTTAAACTTCATCTAACCCTCATTTAATACATATTGAAATAATAAGGGTTAGAAAAGGTATGTGTTTCAAGCTGTGTGCCGCAAATAAGCGAACAAGATTTTAGGTTTCACACCGATGCGCAGCAAAGCATATATTCTACAGAATTTTTGCATTATTAACAGCATGAAGCTATATAATCAAGGATTCCCTTTTTTATACAATACATTTTATCAGGGGGGGCATAATTTTTCCAGGGTGGGGGGGGGCGGCCCCAGCCCTGGCTACGCCTCTGCATTAACATCGCATGTTGGCATAAGAATACCTTGGGTTCCTGCTTTCATGTCTCTGGTGGGCCTTTGTAAAGCTGCAAAAAGACCAATGAAAAAGTTTACTCTGCATTTCAAAAAGTTTTGTCGCACAAAGTTATTAAATATGATATGAAATTAATTAAAAATGATAGAAACATATTAACCCTTCAGTTCACATTTTAAAATTAGTATTTTTTGAAATTAGTAGCATTTTTTAGATGTCTAACAGTGCTCATGTAATCATGTTGAGTGTCGCGATTGCATGCTGTGCCCCAATAAATTAAGCTCAAGGTTGGTGAATGTGATAATTTTTTATGTACATACAAGGAAAATGAGATGTAGAGAACATTATGGGGAATATATTCACTAATAATTATTTTTCAGCTTATGTACCTTGTGCTTCTTGCACGTTGCACGATGCCAGTTGCAGAGCAAGGAAAGCCAGAAACACAACTGAAATTTTGTAATTTCCACCACAAATCATCTTTGATCACTCTGTATTGTTTCGTGGATCTTCTTCTTATTATATCAACAACCTTGAATTGAACGAGGTAACTTATGAAATTCTGCGAAATCTATTGCATTTTATATGATACTGAGCATTCGTCGGCTTATCTCTTTGATATAGGCTGTTCCATACATTTTACAGGTTTCTTGTTGGCTCCTGCCCCACACCCACTGACAAACTCTAAAAAAGGTGTATACTCTTCGGAAAACTAAACCACAATATCGCTTAGCAGACAAGATCGACGAGATCGACCTGCACAATTAAAATTGACTATGACCATGCATGCAGTGAATTCCTGCATTCCCACTTTATAATAGTATTAAAAAATATCGTCATATATGACATAAAATTTCTGTCTGCATCACCATTCACCAGGAAATATGTATAAGACATGCAACTATATACTTTTTCATGAAAGGTTGGAACAATTTAAGGCATGCACGTTTTCAGTCGTATAATTGTCCTTTATCGGTGCAAGCTAGAATTTACAAATTCGGTACAGTATTTCGCATTGAGCATTATTACTTTCTTGCTATAACAGTAGTCAGTACTCAGTTACAAGAAAAGAATATATACACCCAGAAAATGTTGTCCATGCAATATATAGCCAGGTGCAGAATAAAAATTACCTGAATAAAAAGATCTTCTTTTTGCTTCTTCCAACATGAATGACTTGATGAAATGTGTTGATTTTAATAAAACACCACTCGTTTTATACGATTGCATTCCCAGGATGAATGTCGCAACGAATGTCAGTCGGCCTCTTTCCAGTGCATCCGACTTGTCCAAGTGCCCCTTAACGGCATTGACATTGTAGTCTAAATACAAAACTTTCCTATCTGCCCGACTGTTTACGAACTTTTATACAATTGTACAGGGGGGAGTTAAAGACAAAACTATATTTCTTTGTACTAACATATACAGGGCATATTTTGTTTCTTTGCAATATGCGCAAGGAAAACACAATCCTAAATTAAAATCTTCAAAATACATACATACATATATATATATATATATATATATATATATAGTACAATCTGCAAACATACATGTTTCGGCGTTC